AGGATGAGAGGTCAGTTGCAGGCTGTCCTTTACAGCAGATGGGGGGACCGGCAGGAAGAAGAACCAGAGTCAGGGCCCACGGGGAGGGGCAGGACGAAGAATGGGGCTGGTTATTTGATGGATGGAGCAGCGTTGGCAGGTAGGTGTAGCAGGGTAGAGAACCAAAGCGTCCGTCAAAAATGGCAATCGGGTGTAACAAATATGTCCAGATCAGAACAAAAACCAACAGAATAGTTAGCAATCTATAGCAGTAGAAAGTGGTCAGAAACTCTTAGATTAACACAAAGAAAGACGAGATTTTCGAACAGAGAAGCGGCGAACAGTCAACGCCAGCGTCCTCTCACGCCGAAGAAAAAAGATGAATGATACGTCATACGTTATGTCCGTTAGTGCAGCTAGCTAACCAGATGCTAACATCACGGTCCCCGCTAGCACCGGTTTGAATGACACAAGCACACGTGTATTTCCATGCAACTCTCTGATTGGCCTGGTGACTTGCCTCTGTTGCATTCATTGAACACGGGAAATTGCAGTCCTGCCGTCCTCTCTTGTGTCATGATGAGGTTCACATAAAGCATGGTTAATGTATTATATTATTGAGGTGTCTCAAATATACGTCAATCAAGTGGCACCTGCTAACGGGGTGGTGGATGATATGTTTACATATAAAAACATATTTTTCAAACATTATTATTTTTATTTTTATTTATTTTGTTACTTTTTTTGTTAACGGTCCGCGATCTACCCGCACCACACTCGCGATCGACCGGTTGATCGCGATCGACTGGTTGGTACAACTGCAAACAAATTACAACTTTACCTTTAAGTCCCAACGTTTGTATGACCCAGTAATGTTTTTTTTGCGATATTTTGTACATTTACATCTATGGTCTATTACAAGTTATCAGCAATAATTTGCAGTGCTCGTCTTATTTTTATAATACCAAATCCCCTTTTGTGTGATTTTGTTTTTATTAAGCTTTTAACAATTATTTCTTTTATATTTTGTTGTATGTGCATGTAATTGATCTGAAAAATGGGTACCAGAAAACACAACCAGATTTAAAAAAGAAAAGAAAAAAAATGTTTATCCAAATTCAGTCATCTTCATAAATCCATTATCTTTTTATCATGATAAAGTCAAATAAAATCTCTAGTTTTCAGTCTTGCGTGAAATATGGGCATCCTTATTGTGGGCATTTAACACTTTTGCACAAAAGGCTTAAAATAATTTGCCCTCTCCCAGTATCTTAAGACACAGTAGCATTACACATAGTGTTCATGCATTCATCAAATAATTTATTACATTTTTACAAATAATATAGCATTTTTCTGTGAAACACACAACCGTACATTAACAACATGTCTCCATGAACTTTGCCTTACACGATGACAACAAGCCTTCATTATAATAGTGTTTTTCAAACCGGTTTATCATAAATCTAAATTTAAATCTAAATCTAAATGTCACTGTGCGTGCCGTGTGCTCTGCATGTGTGACCATTAGAGGGTTTCATCCCTCCGATTCTATCTATCTATCTATCTATCTATCTATCTATCTACAAGGCCTGGGATAATGCTTTAATAAAGTTACATGCAGTAACAAAAATGTCCATGTGTTTTTCCACTTTTCTTTACAAGTTAATGCTATCCGAGTGACGGAATGTACTGAACAATTATATAAATAATCATATACGGATATGAGTTTTGAATTAAAAAAACGTACATACATCTCTATTAATAACCACTTCAAAATCAGTATAGCTCCTTTATAATCATTTTGTTAAAGTCAGCGACATTTAGCCACGTGCCCAGAGAGATGGTGAGAGCGAGCAAACCTGCGCAGGCAGTTCGGGCAGGAATATGGTTTCTCGCCTGTGTGGGTTAACATGTGAGTTTTAAGATGTCCTGACAAACGAAAGCTTTTTCCACATTCTTCACACGTGTAGGGACGCAGGTTGGTGTGACTCCTCCTGTGCTTACCCAGATCGCCGGACGAGGTGAAACGATTGTGGCACTCTGGGCATTCAAAGGGCTTTTCCCCAGAGTGTATCCTCTTATGCTTGGCCAGATCACCTGACTGAGTGAAACTCTTGTCGCATTCATTGCATTTGTAGGGTTTCTCTCCAGTGTGTATGCGTTGGTGGTTCCGCAGATGTGATAGGCGAATGAACCTATTGCCGCAGACTGTGCAGTGGTAAGGCCTTTCTCCGGTGTGTGTGCGCAGGTGTATTTTCAAAGCCCCGATGTCTCCAATCTTCAGCCCACAGTCACCGCACTGGTGAGCTTTCTCAATGTTGTGGATTTTGGAGTGAACCCTGAGGTTTCTCTGGGTGATGAAGTCCTTCCCGCACACATTGCAGTGAAAGGGTTTCTCATCGGAGTGCGTCCTAATGTGGAGAGTCAGACTCGACTTGAATCCAAACTCTTTTCCACATTCAGAACAAGAGTATTCCTTCTTCCCCGAGTGTGTGGTTAAGTGGCACTTGAGGTGATGTGATCTTAAAAAGGCCTTCCCGCACACCTGGCATTTGTAAGGCTTCTCCCCTAAGTGTATTTTCATGTGTTGCCGCCACCCGCTACGCTCCACAAACCTCCGGCCACAATCCTTGCAGACATACGGCCGGTCACCCGTGTGTGTGCGCATGTGATCCTCCAGGCTTTGAGGTGTGCCTATCATCTTGCCACATTCTGGACACTTCACACCAACATCCAGACAGATTGGCTTATCCTCGGCTTCTGTGTTTTGCTGCTCATGACACAAATGCGGCCCTTGACCCCAGGTAGCTTTGAAACTCTTCCCACACTTGGCGCAGCTGAGATGTCCTCCTTTGGTCGCCACGGACATGCTGTGCCAGCGCTGACAGTGATTCTTCAGATTCTTCAGGTACTGGAAGCTGCGCGCACATGTCGGACAGGGGAAGAGTCTGCGAGGAGGAGCAGAAGGATGGGCTTCACGTATATGGAGCCTAAGGTGTACTTTAGATTTAAAGGTGCTGCTGCAGACGGTGCACGGGTGTTTGGGGATGAGGTTCAGTGTGCGGCTTGAGAGGCATTTCTTTAGTTTGGCAAGATACTCCTTCTGATGGACCCACTTGACATGCTTCTCCAGGAAGTCCAGGTCAGTGAAGGAGACATCGCAATGAGGACATGGATAGAAGTCAGACGATGACTCTGGGGAGGAGAGGAAGACACACAGGAGGCAAAGTGCATGAAATGAAGGTGGTAATTATGATTTTCAAACTTCCCTATTATACAGACAACGTGAAAAATACTTAAAAGTTATGAGCAACAAAATAAGACTATTACATTAATAATAAACAGTATGTAAATAATATTCTTCTTTCAATTTTTTGTTCTGTAATTTGGCCCTTCATATGTATATATTTTTTATTTTGAGATGTTTCTATTTTATGTTGGTTTATTTATTACTCTTTTTTCATTTTCAGATGTGCAACGCATTGTTTTAACATGCCGAGTCCGCTGAGGCGAAAAATGTAAATCCAGTCTTATCTTATCTAAATATATTTAAATATTGCAAATTACCAATTTACAACATGACATGAGTTACACAAGCTACAGTGCCACAAATGGCAAAGTACTGGCCTTATCTTATATTACATTAATACTTATACATTTTAAAATATTTGATAACCTGCTGTTGTATTAGTGCAATGAAGAAACACACTTTTTAATATAAAAGAAACACCAAAGCGTCAATAATATCCAGGGATTGCCTGTTTTTTTTAATAAACTACAGATATCCTACCTTTGCAGTCCTTCTCTCCTTCTCCATAATCTCCCTTGATGTGTATTGTTGCCTCCCCCCCTCTCTGCTGCTCAATGTGTGTCTCCTCTTTTATCCCTGACTCTGGTTCCTCTTTGACAGCAGCCTCAGTGAGATCTGGAGGATGCTCAGAGTCACACTCTTCCTTTATGTGTTGCTGAACATCTGGCCTGCATGCCTCAGTCCCATCCTTAGTGTCTGAGCAGCATGATGAGGGTCCATTGTGCTGCTCACTGATCTCCAGTGAGAGTGGTTCCTCCTTGATTTGGATGGTCAGACCCACCCCATTAGTAAGGTGCACTTCCTCCTCTGGTTCACATTCAGTCTTAACTACCAGAACATCATGTTGTTTCTCTCCTCTCTTTGATTTGTTTTGCAAAGACTTCTTCTTGTTGGATTTCATCTTCATCTGGTCACCATTAGGGTTTCGTCACTTAATGTGCTGCGAACAAGAGGGACACATTGCTGAGGTTAATTTATAGTACAGAAGAGGCAGTAACATACAATACATTTGCATAAATACACGACAACAGTCTTCATCTTCTCCATATTTCTGTTATCTGCGGGTTAGCATCATAGCTAAGCATCACTAACGCCTGCATTAGCCTAGCAGCGGGGCTAGCACTGTGGGTCATTTACCGTTAAAACCGTTTTCTTGCAGCTAGGCAACTGTCAATGTTATTACGGACAATCAGCTGTAAAGAAAATACTGACTGTTGATAGTTTCGTCATTCAGTCAAAGCTGCTTTTCAATACCTAAGCAGGTTAACGTTTAATAAATGACTAGAATATAACACAGGAAGAGCAGCACACTTCCTCCTGCTCCGGCCAATCAGCGCAGGTCACTGATGTCCAAGTGTTACATTACAGGATTAAAGCAACAGCAACACAATCACAAATACAACCACTTACTAACACTGCATTTTATTAAATAAATAACTAAACATGTCTTATAATGCACAGATACTCTTTTTCTTTTATTTAAATCTGTTTTATTCTACTTTATCCTTCTTATTTGCATTCTCTTGTTGTTTTTTAATGACTTTTTGAAATGTAACCTTTAGCCTACATTGTTTCTGTACTCTGGTGGGTTAAAGTAATTTGACAGGTGGCATTGCGGGGTTTAGTATAATTGTAATATGGATGTTATAAAGGTGTAATAATAGTGTGATTTGGGTGTAATGTTAGTGCTGTATTAATGGTGTAATAACGGTTTAACATTGGTGTAATATTGGTGTTAGTAGATGTGTGTAGTGTGAGTGTGATAATGGTATATTAACAGTGTTGTATGGCTGCAATAGTGTTGTTTAACCCTTCTATTGTCTTAGTCCCCCCCCTTACTTTGGTGTTCGCGTCAAATTTGACTGGTCATATTTTAACTGCTATTACCTTAACACAAAAACCGTTAATCATCACCAAATTTCATTTAACACTCTTTCAAACTGTAACTATTGTATCAGACTACTGGTATACATGAACAACTGCAGTAAATACACAAAGAATAGACACTGAACATGTATTGCGTGTGCCAGGTGTGATCCATGTGGGGGGATGGGCACATAAGGGGGGTGTAACTTTATAACAGGGGGAACACATTTAGAGTGTGTGTGTGTGTGTGTGTGTGTGTGTGTGTGTGTGTGTGTGTGTGTGTGTGTGTGTGTGTGTGTGTGTGTGTGTTTGATCTGATCCGGATGGTTACTAATTCCTTTTCTTTATGGCGGTCATTTTTGACAGGGAATAAAGAATTAATAAGTTGAGTAAATCATCCAAAATTCAATGAAAGTGGTGATCACCAATTGTATATATTCAAATGTCTAATGTGAAGGATATCATAAATGCCTTAATGCAATCAAATGTAAAACAAAAAAGTTATGATTGATGAAAGTAGTAAATCGGTCAGATTTGACCCGAAGACAACAGGAGGGTTAACAGTGTAATATTGGTGTGATATGGGTTTAATAATGTATAAAATGTGTACCCAACATGGAGATAGTATTTCTGTTTCTAAAATGGAAAACAAAGGAACATAATTCTAAACATTTTTAGACTAGATACATTAGAAAATCACAATTAAGTATTGTTTCTAATTATTTTGTAAGGAGTTGTTAAGGGTTAATAGGCATTTGTAATTAGTTTTCCCTCCTGTAAAAAAAAAAACACCGAGTCATGTTTCACAGACTTTATTCAAGCCGACTCAGGACAGAGAATCTTGACGCATTATATTCTGTACAGCACTGTTCCCTTTTTTGAAAACAAAAAAACAAACACAACAAAATGTATGTACAAAATATGTTAAAAAAAGAACATAGACAAAGATACAAGACAAAAAAAAACAGTATTAATGCATAATGGTGGAGGGCTGTTATAAATAGGGACAGTATGTATTTGAAGCTTTTGCTGTGAGTATACAGTTCATGATTTTGTTCAGTCGATAATAAGCCAGTAGCATCATTCTTAGTTCATTCATGACTCGTGTGCCATCTGAGGCTGGACGACATCTCTTAGTGTTTCTCGTGAATAATGGGGCTCATTGCCTCCATGCAGTGCAAAAAGGAAACCAGAGAGGAAACACAAAAAAAAAAAACTAACCTTGACACCAACAAGTGAACAAGTAATTCAGTCTCATCACAAATAAAAAAGCTTTCACGTCTTCTCAAAATCTCTCACCAGGAGAATTCATTCCGTTGCGTTCATTTCGATAAAGTAACATTTTCCATACTTTTTCTTTTGTATACATCAAATTTCTTTTCTTTTTTTAAATCAAATTGATTGGTTATTATTACAATCATTTAAGCAGACAAGGTGCCTGAAAAAAGCAGTCCAGCAAAACGAGCCAAACACCAACATACATTTCATGTCAACAAAATGTAACCAAATGTTTCCAAAGGACACATACTTTCTTCTTTTCATGGACGAATTATGTTGGATTTCTCAATTATTTTACTATTATATTAATAGGAAAACATCATCCTTCATTATTTTTTCGAGTCATAAAACCAAATGTGTTATTAAGTGTAAGCCGTTTGACTCGCAGACAAGGCAATAAGTGAAGGCAGATGAGAAGAAACACAAATTAAAGTGTAACAGGTGACTGAATATGCACATACTCAGGATTCTGTGTAACATAAACACGTAGCCTCGAAGCCTGCCATATACTGAGCTACAGTATAAAATCACTCATATCGACTGTGATATAAAAAACATCTCACAAGCGACAATCACAATCTTGCACATTACGTCTAACCAAAGTCTTTTTGTTCTCAACGGCAATTTTGATTGTCACTTTCTGGGGTATAAAGCACATGTTGGTTCCAAAGAGAGTATTTTTAACACCTCTCTTTGTCAGTGAGAAGAGTTTTGTCCTCAGTCCGGCTTCAGTCTGTGTATGAGACCGAGTGTGCTCACAGCTCATAGACAGGATGTGTTGTTGAAGCATGAAGCAGTTGTAGTGCATTGTAGAGACAGCTGGCATGGTCATGTGAAGCACTGCAATACATAATACAAATAACAGACACTTAATAATTCATTTTACAGTGTATGTACAACTCTGTTCAAAATGCTCACGTGAAGCGACATAACTCTTGGACTTTTACCTTTCAGCTTTCAAACAAATTCAATTCATCCCCTCTCTTTTACACCTTATCTTATATTGTTGCTTCCCTACATAGCCATAGTGGTGAGGTGTTGATGCCCGAGCAGACCCTTGCGCCCCCCTCCCCCCGGGTGACCCCCTCCGTTGCCATGGCCACAGTATTCTTGCAGGTTCTGACGCAGAGTAACCAGTGCAGAGCCCAGGCAGGCCCGATTGGGAGCCAGGACCCCCCCGGGCAGCTGGAAGAGGACGGTGGCCACCCCGGCCATGCCGTCGTCCGTGGGCTCCAGGGTGATGGGCCCGACCTTAAAGGTGGAGTAAGAAAAGCCCATGAGCTGAGAGAGGAAGGGGTCGGAGCGGCAAAAGTTCTGGTAGCCGCTGTACGTGGATGGGTGGTGATGTTGTGAGGCGGGGGTGCCAGACGTGGTGCTGGCATAGTGGTGGGTGTTCAGGTAGTGAAGCGGAAGGTGCTGCCCACCGTTGCCCCCTCCACCCAGGGTGAGATGATGGTGGTGGTGGGCCGTGGGTCCGGAGCCCGGGTCGTGTTTGTAGGAGACACCCCCCGCCCGGCCCCTCTGACCCACCACCACACCTCCTAGCTTGCTTGTGCGGGCGTGAGCGAGCGACACAGTGCTGCCCCCCCCGCCCGCTGACGGCAGGTAGATGAGCTGAGGCTCCTCCGGCTCCAGGTAAATGGTGAGTTTAGCGAAGGGCCTCGACGCCATCTTGGTCATCTCCTGGATGTGTCGGCGCTGCTCCCGCCGGAAGTCCAGGAACTGCTTCACCTTCCACAGGAGGACGCAGACGGACAGGAAGAGGAAGAAGCAGGAGAAGAAAACAGAGAAGAAGACGAACAGGTCGATGTGGGCTTGGTCCTGTCGCAGAAACAGCAGACCCTGCGACTCCCCCTGCCTCTGCTCAGTTCCCAGCCCTCTCAGAGCGATGTAGAAGCGGCTGGACTTCAGGGAGTGCACCTCGTGAGGGAAGGTGATGACCACGCGATCTCGAACACCGCGGACTATCAGCACCGTCTGAGGTTTCCACACCGTGATGTAGCTGATGAGTCCTTCAGCGCGCTCCTCTGTCATCTCTTTCTCCGCCCCTGGGGGTTTTGCTTGCAACTGAAGTGGATTGTGGGAGAGCAAGGGACCCAAGAGACTGGACGAGGCATTGGCAAACACCTTTATAGGGGACGGAGGTGAATCCTTATCTACGCCAGTCGCTGTGCCTCGAGTCGCTGGATCCTCCTCGATCTTGATGGTGTGAATCCCCGTGGATCTGTCTACGTCCACGATGAAGATGTCAGGAGAGTTGGACACGTACACCTCCACCTCCCCAAAGGTAACATCGATGGTAACCCGGATGTCCACATTGGTGAACTTTGGCTGCGCGGAGAAAAAGACGGTCCGGCCTCTGGGCAGGTTGCGGATGGTGGGGTCATGGAAGCAGTTGGTCTGGGACGTGGGGTCGAAGCAGCACTCTGTGTCCACGTTGAACTGACGGTAGCACTGACGCCCGTTCACTGGGGTGCCGTTGAAGGAGTCTTTGCACTTGGCACACTGAATAAAAGAGCACAACAAATGTTTTGCCTTTAACAATGCAGAGAAAGAAAGTCAAAGATTATATTGCGACCAGTGACCATGGTCAACTTCTGTGTGAATAATATGTTAAAAGTAAGTAAGTGCCTTAAGTGCATACCTGTTGCTTGTAGCAGTCTTTGCGGTCACTCTGAGCGTTGTTGAGGCAGGAGGGGGTCTCGGTGTTGTTTTGGCAGGGGCATCCTGTACCATCGTGTTCATTACACGTGTCTGCATGGCCGTTACACTGACACCTGCAATGCACAGGAGAACATTCACACTTAAAAGGAGAGAAAACTAAAGGGGAGAAGAGAGTTTTAGTAAGAGTGCTGCTTCTTCAGGCATTTTTGTGGATTGTCTTTTTGCAACAGATTTCCATCTCATTAGTAGCACGTATTTGTTGCTGTAAGACCACATAGATAAAAAGGTACAATTATAATTTAGTAGTACAACATTCAGTATGCACAGCAGAGTTATATCACAGAGGTCAGGCATTGTGTGTAACAATGTATAATGGTGAAGGTGGACAGTGCCAAAACATTGAGTATATAGTCTTTTTTATTTAAATCTAAATACCTCATATGAATGTGTACGTCCGACATATTCATAGTTACCAGATATGTCATTTCCAAAAGCAATATGTTCATGGATGGTGGTGCAGGATGAAAAATGTGTCACTAAACAAGAAATAAGCTTCACATGTCAGACACTGGCTCATACAGACTACAAGATATTAGTGAAAATGCTCTCAAGTCAGCCGTCTGTTTCTTTGTTACAGGAGACTGGGGTTCGATTCCCAGTCGGCAGGTGTGGCAAGTCCAGTGAGGGCCCTTGGGGAAGACCCTTAATGCGAGAGTCAGACTGGCTCGGACGTCAACGAGGTCCTCGTCAGGTGTTGGGGAACCAGGGAGACCTGATGAGGAATGGCTGCTGGAACGAGACATGGCTGACCAAGGCTGGAGA